CTACTACTACTACTACTACTACTACTACTACTACTACTACTACTACTGCAGTTGTTCAACCTGCTAGCAATGACATGCAATCATTTTCCCCCCAGTGGCCCTGCAGAAATCAGACCAAAGCAAACCGGAAGAACTGCTCACAATCAGAAACAAACACATGACACCCATCTTAACCACAAGAACAACCCGATTTGTGTTTTTCCATGCATTTCCAGCTTCCTCCAAAAACAAAGAAGCACCAAGGCACGCCGCAGGCACGACAATGCTTGCTTCCGGGCCCCCCGCTTTGCGAAACACCGTCCAGCCCCAACGAAAAAACGCCGAAATCGTCCTCACAGTCGAAAGGGAAGCGACAGGCGGGTAGGGTCCCCACCAGCACCCTCTGTGGAACCACCTGGGACAAATCTGTGGCAACGTGAGATGGACATGGGACGAGACGGGGCGAGTGAGTGCGTAGGCGTGGTCGGTCTGTTGGTGGGTTGTCTGAGGTGCTCCCAAAAGGATGTTTGCACGTTGCAGTCAAGGCAAGTCGAACATGTCTTCACCACAGACCAAGCCCCGAGCAAACGGAAGTGATCACCAAACGCAATGAAACGAGCATCACCTAACATCTTCCATTGAGTGAGCTGAATGACTCATGTCTTGGCATCAAGTCATAATCCTTGCACCATCTCATGACCTCATAGAACAGCCCAAGCCAAGGAGCAGGTGCGCGTTTTTTTAGACTTGTGTTATTTGTTTTGTTTGTTGTTTTTGTTTTTTTCTTCTGGGGAGGTCCCTTTCTGGCCAAGCTGCCTTCTTTGGTGAAGCAGCGTTTACCAATCCCTACAGACGTCCAAGCTGACCCAGCAAAACCTGGTCAGTTCCTGACCTCCATGAACTGCACTAAAATAGGGTCAGTTCCTGACCTGTAAGGAATGGATGGTTTGCCCTTAGCAAATCAAACAATCCCCCCCAAAAAAGAACAAGTTATATACCACTCCCCAATCAAACAAAAAACAACATGTTGATATCATTTGATATATGTTGATACATAGTTGCAGGTTTGAATAACCTATTTTTTCTTTTATCCAGTTCCAGTCTTCTCCAACTTCAAAACCCACCCTCCCATCTCCTCCGGCCGCGGTCCAAAACTGGCGCCCGCGCATTGTCGGCGGGGCATTCGAAGGTCGCGGGAGCGCCTTCCAAGGGATAGGTGCAGGTCACCTCGCACCTGACTGGCCAACGGAGTCACATGGAGTTGAGGATGGGCTTCGGTTCATCGCCGTGGAGAACGCCGAACGGCACCTGTACTCGGAACCGGCAGCTCGAGCTCTGTGACTCCTGGTTGAGGGAATTGGCATGAGGTATTTGGTGATTCTTTACCCCAAGCCCCAAGCAAACTGGTCTAGAAGCCGCCACCCTCTGGACTGGACGTAGTCTTGCAAGCCGGCCAGTTTCACAGTGCCAGCAAGCTGAAGCTGATGGTGTACAGTGTTCCACAGCAATGCGACGCAGTCCTACTAATGTCCTACCTCAGCCCGGTGTATTTTAAAGGGGAGACCGCCGCACTCGGCCGAACCGTCGATGTCCCGAAGCGTCGGTCGAACGATCCAGTCGTCGGTCGACCGGTTCGACCCCAAAAGCAACGCTCCCGACATCACCGTACAGTCGCCGAGAAACTGCCAGGGGTGGTGGTTTCGGGGTCATGGAGCATATGCCAGTCCCAAATAGCAGCTCGTGTTTGGGTCAAGCAAGAAGTCATGGCGGAGTCGTGATGAGCCAGTGGGGTGGCAAACATGACATATGGCTGTATCAGTCATGGCACCAGGATACCTTGGACGTGAATGACCAAGGGCCGTATCACGGCCGCGAACCAATGGCCACAAGTCTTCGGTGTTCTTCGCTGTGTCTTTCTGTATTCTTTACTGCTTGGTGGTTTCAACTCATTGGAGCAAATCTTTGAATCATTGTTGATCAATGATATACACTCCCGAAAACTAACATAGACCCTGACGTCCTGGCCCCCTGGAAGAGTGTTTTCCTCTACCAACCAGTGGTTTTCAGGGTCCATGTTAGTCTTCCAGGGTGTATCTCAAAGTAAACCATGTAAAACCCTGTAAACCATATCAGAGCATGTCTGAACCACTCTGAACATATCAGAACTCTGCCCTGAAAAAATCATCCAGAGATGGAGGTCCATCCAGTCCAACCATGATGTAACATGATGTACCTCGGAGAGGACAAAGGGTTTTTACTGTTCTATACTTTTCTATATTTGTTGGGTGTAAAACAGAATTCCTAATGGTCAGGGGTCCATGGGTCGTCCGCAGGGTGGTTCGTCTATCATCGAAAGGAACTATCGGCCTAAGAGGAAAAGAACTATCTTTCAACACCCTAAGCAAAATTGGGTAAAACAGATTAAAATATGCATGCATGGTTTCTGTCCCTTTCTGCTCTCCCTCGCGAACTGGCCTCTGTCCCGGTTGAAGCGACTGGCATTGCTGCACATCATGGCCTCGGTCGGCTGGTGTAGCGCAGCTGTTTCGCTGTCGGGTCGACTGTTTTAACCACCAGCCGAGTGGGAATAAAGCCCCCGCAGAGTGGTGTGTGTGGCCCTTGAAAGCAAACAGGGCCAGAATCGGAAAAAACATAAACAAAAAAACAGGAGTGACAAAGGGGTGACGAAATAGGAGGAAAGGGGTGCCCCTGTCACATCCACTCACTGGATGGGAATAAACATCACCACGACATGTGACTCCTGGAAGAAACCTATTTTGAACATGATAAACTATAAAACAAGCGCAATATATGTTCATGGGTCGGGTCTTTCAAGAGTCCATTTGGGCGGCTCCAAAACAGCCTATACAGTACTTTGCTATAATCCCTCGTGTGCGAGCTTTTGCAGACGACCTGCGGCAGACGTGGCCTTCAAGCACGTGAGTTTACAGCTTGCACACGGTTCATTCGAGGTTTTGGACGTCCATTTCATAGACTTCACTCCCAAGTCGACCAACCCAACCCCGAAACCACCCGAAACCACCCGTCCCCCAACAAATCGACGGCTGAACCGGTTCTCACCTTCTCCGCATCCCACCAGGTCCCCACCAGGTCCCCACTCCCATTCCCTCTGAGCCTATCCCCCTCCCAACCGAGCTTCGACAGCTATCCACCTCCGGAGCACGACAGGACTGCAACGGGCGGCCTGACCGAAGTGCTACGAGCGACGCGAGGCGCGCGAGGCGAAAGGCGCGAGCGCGTCGCTCATCGCTCGTAACGCGGTGAAGGTGTGGGAAGGGACGGAGGGGTGAAAAACCAGGTGAAAGGGTGGACCAGTGAAAATCCAATCCTTTTGACCTCCGAGAGTGTTTTTGTTGGTATGATGCAGCTAAATGAGGTCCAACTGAGCTCCAGGGATAGTATACGTATACGTGCATTCCGGGGGAGGAAAGAAAAAGAACGTGAGCCTTTCCATGCCGTTTGAAACCAGCCTCCACCAGCTCAACTGCGAATCACAACTCTTTCTTTCATTTTGCACAAAAACAAGCATCTGCGACACTTTCGGAGACTTGTGGGCAACAGTTGCTTCCGGTGCTGGAGGTTCGTTTAACCCTCTGCTGGAAGACTGTTTCAACCAGCTCCTTCCAAGGAGCTTCAAGTGGATCCTCTTCTTGCAGCTCTAGCGCACTTCAATGGGACCAACAGGACGGTTGCACCATGGACCTGGCACATCTGGTTCTTCTGGAAGCCTTAACAAGTGTGACTTGGAAAGACTTTATTTCTGAATGATGAGGTGGGACCTGAACAATTCTTCATGAGATCTTCTAGTGACTCCACTATCTTTGGGTGCCCCAATTCCTTCATGTTCCTTGAAGATGGAGTGATTATACAGGCTTGGATTTGTTGCTCCTAGGAAGCCGGAAAACATATTCCCCAGGTTGGGGGATTCACCCATAGGAAAAACATGAACACTAAGCAAAACAGGTAGGTGGATGGAGTGAAAAAACAGACCGCCGAGTCGCTGTAGACATTCCTCTTGGTTTTGGATGCGACTCACCCAACTCTTCTCACAGCAAATCCTCTTGTCGGCCCAAGTCGAAGTCGATGTCGGCCAAGTGGCATCCCTCGAAGTCCACGATCGTGCTACAGGCCACCGACTGCGTGACACTGCTATAAGCACCTGCCACGCACGAGGATTGTTGGGTGGTGGCGTGACGCTCGCGACTTCGGTCGCACAAGGGGCATGCGTCGTTTCGGGCGCATTGCTTCAGGGAGATCTTACAGCAACAGCCATTTGTCTTCGAACGTCTTCGAGATCCACACGTGGATTGCTCAAAGCAAAACAAGTTTGATCCAGAATGCTATAAGACAACGAAGGATTTGATATATTACATAAAATATTCATGCCTTTGTCGCGCTTGGCGGCATTTTTTGTTGTGGTCAGAAATCCAAGTGAACTAACATGCTTGCTACCCTTCTGGATGACAGTCCTACTGATTCCCACAAAACCGTCACCTTCGGCCAACAAGGTACCACAACGGCCCGACAAACAACACGCGACCCGGTCGGCCATGATCAGGTGTTGTACCAGCGTCCACTTGAGACTGCGAAATGGTTGGTCTCAGACTGTCTTATGTTCTCCTCTACGGACATGGGGCATCGAATGTTCCAACAACTTGCTGTTCCGACAAGATCCAAGGCTCAGAGATGGAACACCTGTAGAACTTGGAATTTGCTGACGAACATCGGCAGAATGCAACAAAAATCAGATTGGGATATACCCAAGCTTACAGAAACTGGCCCGTGTTGTGGCAATTCATACATCTATAGGCCAACTTCATGGTCCTCGAAAACGAAGTTAGCTCAGGCCGAAAAAACGATCCGCAGGTGTCCCAGGAATGTAGAATTTGTTGATAAGCTGATTCCACCCACTCCCCCCAAAACAGGATTAAAACAGTTTATCCACGTACTTCCTGGCTATGTTCAAGTCGCCCCCGGACGTCGCCGCCGCCGGAAGTCGCTCGCTTCCCCCGTGGTCGTTGGAAGTTCACCGGCCGAACCCGAAACGATGAGGTCGAGGAATCCGAAGAAAACCTCTAAAAAACGTCTAAAAACCTGCCCACTGCATGCGATCACCATGAGATCACCATCCCCTGACTCAATGGGTCGATGTTACATTCCACTCCGTGCCTCGCAAGTAGCACGACACCGAAGGGGTGCCGCCATAGCCCTCCGCGCAGCGATATTCAAGGCTGGCGTCCTCCTTGGTGGGGCGCACAGCACCAACGGGGGATCGGAAGACCCCGAGGAAAGACCAGAAACCCCGAGCCAACGGATGAATCCACCCGGATTTGGCGGTTCAACATCCGGTCAAACTTGAGGCCGGGGGTCTGTGACGAACACTTGGGCCACTTCATCTGCAGGGATTCGATGTCTGGGTGTGGGTTCTTGTTTAGATCTGATGTTGGAAAATGTTGATCTGAATCGCGGTAGAAGTTGCTGGTCAATGTATTGAAAACTTAAACCCTTCCCCTATTGGGGGTCAAACCCGATTCGAACCCAGGAGAGGGGAATTTCTAGCACTGATAAATTACGATATACATATAGATATTCACTTGGTAGCCGAGTACAGCCCACGGCCAAAAGTTGTTAAAACAAAAACACTTCCAGCTAGTTGATGTTAGTTTTCAAGTATGATAGTGGCTGTTTTGGACTGGTGTTTGGGAATCCTTGGGAAAGTCAATTCATGCAAAATCGCAAATCATATGGAACAGACATCCTTGCGGATCAGTCGGGGTGGTTGGTTTCAGTGGGCACCCATTGTTGTGAATGGGCCGTTCTATGTTCATAACTCACAACCTGCAGTGAAGATGCTTGCACGGTAGTGCCTGAGCTGAATTGACGAGGTGCGGTGGCTTTCGGTTGAATGAAGAATGCACAAGGAAGTCACGACAGGTCAAGTTGGTGTTTAATTTGTTATGATGATTCCAAGACCGCAAAGCCAAGCATAAATTATGGGAGTTCCTGCACGTTAATGGCCACCGACAAGTTACTTGACCAGGCAACTCAGGAGCAACAGATTGGAACAATAAAACGACGAAAGCAACATGCTAGCAAGCGATGTCAGGCCACCCAACCGCAATTTCACTACACACTCGGTGTGTGCTGGCGCGCGGTGCGTAGAAAAAGGCTGCGTCCCAACGTCAGAATATGCACAGCTCGGCATGTTCCCACGACACGCGCCCGGGTTTGTTTGCCCGTTGTTCAGATGACAACTCTCAACTCTCCATCCCAGCTTCCAAACCCAACAGTGCGAATTGCGAGCACCGCGAGAATGTGTGATTGGCCCGTAGAACATTTAGTCTGTTTTGCCCATGTATACGAAACTGATGTGACGGAGAAGTCGGGCTAGATACCTCACCTTTACAAGTGCACATATCTAATACTCGCAGGTGGACAAATTGCTACCCCGTTGGAAGAAGAAGGGTGTCCGACCTATAGTCAAGATGTCTTGAGAATTGGGAGTCATGTAAGCCACCTATGGCCTTTTCAGTCAGACGACCTTCAAGGTCTTGATGAGAACACTTGCCCTCGCTTAGGTGGAGATCAAGCACTTGGACATTGCAAGCCACCGATTTGAGGCTCATGCAGAGCTCCAGCTTCTAGCCAGACCACCGGCTACGGCTTTAGGGCAATCTACCATTCGAGCTTGGAAACGGGCGCAACATGCATGGTCAGTCTGGTCCATGACCCACCTAAATACTATAAGCACGGAGACTGCAATGAGACGCCAACAAAGTGCCAGCAATGATCTCTTCCAGCCATGGCCACAACGTGCAAAGAGCAACAGCATTTCAGAAAGCACGATACTCATAGTGGCAAACCCGAATCCTAGCATGAAGACGTCCGCCCACTTGATGAATTCTCCGACTCCTAACTGAGCGATCACATACACCATGATAGTGATGATTCTGAAGTCGGCCATTGTGCAAAAACATATCTGCGGCCTGTGAAACACCTCGATCTTCGGAGTGGCAAATGCCTTGAGTCTAAAACGCCCCCCGCTGCACTGCTTAAGCCGTTGGTCTGGCCAGTGGCCTGCTAAACACCCCTCAAAATGCTCCTCAAAACAAAACTTTGAGACGACGCGTGCAGCGGAAGAAAACATGGGTATATATTATAGATGCTGATGCTTACTGAAAAATGTTATATATATATATATGCCGTTCATTATACAAAAATAACACTCGTGACCATCTTTGACTTTAAATACTTAGTATCTTGACAGTCATGGGACACACTGGCCCACTCTCCCTAGGGCTCCTGGCCCATATCCTCAGGTTCGGTGGTTAGACCCCCATGGTACCCACCCCAACCATCTTCTCAGGAGGTAGTTGGAGCCCTAGGGTCTGTTGAAGAAAGAGCGTCGCACTTTCCCGAGTGCGCGCACAGGACGGCACGAACCTGGCAGACCTGGACCCGGACCGAGGTGGGTTCAGAACGCCCTGGAAGTCCGATAGAGACCCTTCTTAGAACCCTGGAAGATTAACATGGAACCTAAAAATCACTCGGTTTGTGGAGGAAAATGGTCTTACAAAGGTCCGTTTTCAGCTTCCATGTGGGTCTCTTCCCGGCTGTAAAATGCTCGAAATGGGTTTTGGTGTAAAATCCTTCGAAAAAACAATGGTTCTTCGATGTTCGGAACGGGCTTCGATTCAGGGCGTCGACTGCGACTTCGGGAAATTCCTCCGGGATTTCAGACAGTCGAATCATGGCACTGGAGCTGACATATAGACTCAGGAACAGAATACTAGACCCATACACTCCATGTATGGCGGCTATACCTACATTGGGGTGGTGCCATGCCGGGGTCTGGCAGACTTCTCGGCAGTCCGTCCTGGCAGTCCGTCCGCCCTAGTCGTGTCTGACATGGGTTTCACGCTCCAGATGCCATGACCTGCGTTCGAACGAACATCCCAGACCGGACCTATAGACCTTTGTATATAGCCTGTACACGACATAGCCGACATAGACACGTACACGTTTGTTCACAGATTGAAGACTGGAAGACCGATGTGCACTTCACTTGCAAGACAATATGGAAGGTGGTTTGACGCATACAAGAGGACTTGGCCTTAAAAGTGATTTTAAGGCTGAACACACACACACACACACACTTACTTTGCGAACATGCCCGGTCCATCCAGCTCCTCTGCTTTGAACATGTTATATAGTTTGGTACCAACACTCATGTGCAACAGCAGTATTGTTCCAATTCCACCTCCGTATCCAATGGTTTTCCAACATATGGTCATACATCGTCGAACCGTGACGAATGTGACGGTTTTTTGAGATGTGGGAGCAAACGAGGAAGTCCTGCCAAGCTGCAGGAAGTCCTGCTAAGCTTTACGATGTATGAAACTTAATTTCATTCCGGGATCCAACTGGTTGATGACTTTTCTCAAGTTTTTGGTTGCTTTTTCTGTGTATTTGGATCTCCAGGGAGTGGTTTTGGCCAATCACAAGACAGTACTTTGCCAGCACCGATCACCGGGACCTCTAGAGATCACCTCGCTGGTTTCGACCGCCCGGCAGCCGCCCGGCAGCCGGATCGAGAAAAGCACAGCCCTGCCGGCTCTAGCCGGTTGAGGGATCGTTGACAGCATTGATGGCTAAGATCAAAGGCTTCCCGCAGTTTCTATGTGGGCTCCATATATGGGCAAATGTTCTTAAACCATGAACATTCTGGATCCTGGTCGATGGAAACCAACACATTCACCAACGCGTGAAGAACTCATGATCAAACACCGAATCAGCTTTCAAACAGCCCACGACGTGTGGTTCGTTGGCTCCGGTGCCGGGTTTCTGCGCCATTCCTTTGTGCCGTATGACATACTTGGAGCTGCCGTATGACAGTGGCAGCCGGTGGTGTACAGAGTCTGACTCCCGAGCCGCTTCCCTTGGAAATTCGGGGTCTTTGGGCCCCTCCTTCCGACTCATTCCGCGCTCTTCTTGTTTGACGTGATTGACGCTTCTTGTTTGACGTGTTTGATGATTTTGATGTTTGCATCCATCCACGGACTGGCCAAACCACTGGGGTTTTCGACCAGTCTTTGGACCAGTCTAGACTCAAACGTCGGGTACACGGCCACATGGTCCGTGCGTTCACTCCGAACCGTTCGTGACCGAGGTCCTCACTTCACGGCTTAACACCCGGCCAACAAGCAGGAGTCCGGTTCAACAAAGGTGCAGTCTCCAGGAAATGCTTTGTGAGAGACAAGATTTTGTAGTGAATATATATATATACTATATATATATATACATTACATATTGTTCAATATTATTCATATACATTGTTGATATATGTTCTACTATGTATATACAAATGTATATATTATACATGCCATGCTGTATATATTACATAATGCAATTATAGGCGCGTGATTCATGATTCCCCCCAGGCCTTTTCAGAGATTTTACAATTCATGATCTGGGGTCCATTTATTCATCAAGACTCTACACAACCAATGAATAGAACAAGCGGCAACCCAGTAAGAACTGGTCCTTGACAAAACAACAACAACCTGGAGTCGTCCCTCGGAAAATGGATACAGATCGACCGGTGTTTTGTTCGGGTCATGTCCCATTGTCTAGAGTACCTTTGGAGGGTCTGTCGGGTCATCCTCAGTCCTCCCATGTCCAAAGAAAACTGCCACCCAAACGCGACCCAAATCCTTGGGAACAGGGGTCGGACGTACCCAAATGGTCGGGTCAGGGGGGGTCTCTGGTTTACCAATCCCTGGGGTTTTGAGGGACTGAGCAGACCGGCTCTGTAGGTTTGAGTCGGGGGGGGGAAATGGTACATCTCGATTCCAGTCCCATTGGTCTGGCTTCACATTATTTCACATTCCTAGGCTGAGCCACATCTTCACACCCGCGGGTCAACGAAAAAAATGGCAGCTACGGTGCCCAAGTGTTCATAGCCCGTGGGGATGACGTCTGGCTTGGGGCAATACATCTCGCACCTCAGAGAGGTGTTGGGGCGAATCCGAGCACTGCACTGCTATTTGTTTGGGAAACAAGGGCAGAGTCGGTGGTTTTCAGTGTTGTGTCCCGGCCTATACAGATCAAATTGACCTCATAGTTACTGGACTTGGTCCAAGAAGCTCTCAGTTTGAGGTTTACCCTCAGCTGGTCAAAGGACCGGGTCCGACCTATCGAGCTTTTCTTCGGGGTTCATCGTACCAAGGCGCGGATCTTCGTTCGCTGGACAGCTGTTGAAACACCAAGGATTGCAAAGGTCCAACTGGATCGACTGTCTCTTTTTGGGAGTGATGCCGCTTCGACTGTGGGCAAGGTGCAAAGCTCAGTGACACAGTGATTCTGGCTAGCTAGTTTCCCCAGTCCTAAGTAGAAAGAAATGGATGTTTTCCCAGTACCAGCCACTGCCTATATGTAAAGGATCTCTGCCTTGCCATATTGGAACAACCATAATTTTGGGGGATTCAGGTATATTGGATGTGAGCATCGCAGCTAGGACACTCCAGTGGCGTCCAGTGGCTGGACTGCAGAAGTAAGCTGTGAAACTGATCCAGAAACCAAGAAGTTCTACATCCCCAGACTCTCCATGTATGTCACTGTATATCACTGTATGTCATTATACATACATTGGGGTGGTTTTAGGGGTCGATGTTTGTCAATTCCAGTCCCATGGAGTGTGTGGGATGCTTCAACTAAGGCAGGGTGGGCATGTGACCAAACAGGTCTAAAGACATGCAGCTCAACAACGGTGATACGAACCATTACGAACCTTCTACGGCCACAAGCTGTGCTACAGCGCTAGGGGGGACAAAATCAGACCCTAAACCTCCAGTCGGACCTTAGTTTCGGTTCGGTGGAACTGGGTGGGTGCCATGTTCGGGTCCAGTCATACCTTCTGAAAAAAAGGGCTTGGAGGTGTAGGGATAGCATTGCTCAGGGACTCTAAGAGTCCGCTTTCATTCATCTATCATGTAGACTTGGTGCATCCCATGACCAGGGCCCAAATGGTTAGACTCATGCTTCGTCCTTTCTCCAGGAATCATCTGTTACCAGCGGTTACTGGCAATGAGACATAGCCTGTGTATGCCTATGTAGACGGTTGATTCATAAACTCCTGCTGGATGCATATATAGATTGTTGTTACCGGAATGGGTTACCTCGTGCCCTCCCCGCTGAATGTCCCCTCCATCTGCCGCGGAACGTGGGCAGGTCATATTCCATCAACCTGCGGGCGGCTCGGTGAACGGCCGGCCGGACGGACGCGTCTCCATCGGCCGGACGTCCCGGACTAACAAACTACCCCTAGGGCTCCAAGTACCTCTGAAGGTATTTGGACCCTCTAAACCCACCCCAGTCCCACCTTCTTAGAAGGTACTTGGAGCCCTAGGGTACAGTATCTGAATCAGTTCCATGTTAACCTTCACCCTTCACCCTCGACGGCCTCCACCATGTTCAAACACCACCAAGTGAATTGCAGGAGAGACCATTGGACTTGGCACGGACACCAACAGTGGATGATGATGAGCGTGTAAGGCTCTGACGACCATAGTGAGGGGTACTTTACACAGCTTTACACACTCTTAATTGGAGGGTGTTAGAAATCCCTATCGAACCAGGCTAAGTATTTGCAAATGTTAATCCAAATTGTCGTCGTTGATCGCTTTACACAAATCAGTTGCGGATTCCTACCCCACTACCCCATCATCCATCCAACACAACTATTTCAGATATTCTGCGCTTCCGCGAGGAAAGTCTCTGAACACCACAGTGAGGCACCGAGGAAAACGAACTCTGATGGGTGAGGGCGCAAAGATCACCAGCCCAGAACCTACCACCAAAAGCCCGAAAAACGGCTGGACAAAAAAACACACCAGAAAACGCCAGAAAACATCTCCACGGTTTCCCAATCGCAGTCACGCAAAATGCGCGTATCCTCCAAACCCATACCTTCCCGCACCCACCGGAAAAAACACAACAACAACAAACGTGATTTGTCTGCACAAACGCCAGCCTGTTGGGATTGATATTCAAATCTTGGCACATGGCCGTCGTCGCTCCACCTGGCCACCCGCCCGTCGTTGGAGGGTGGAGGCGTGAACACCGGAACTGGAAGAAAACACTGATTCACCAGGTTAGGGGATTTACCGGCAAGAAAAAACAATCAATCGAAGCAAAACGAAGTTTCTGGATCGTTTTTGTGTCATTTTTTTCTTGCCGCGTGTGGGAATCCCAGGTTCTCCAACCTGGAACTTGTGTCTTAACATTGTCGTTGTGTCGAGTCGTATGATTCCAAAACAGTGGTGCCATCGAAGGCCATTGAACAAACATGACAAATGAAAGGCTGTCATCATGGACCGTGAATAACACTGGTGACAAAACAAGGACCTTCCATTCCATGAATAAAACAAGATGGAGCCGCAACCCACGAAAGTGACGATAAGACATCTTCATGTCTTTAGCAAAAGTTGCGCCGCACGATTGGACAGATTTCCACGCGTTCGGAGCACGCTCACATCCACCAAAATCACCATTTTAGCTGAGACTTGTCACGAAAACACAGTTTCGAAGTAACAACCTGAACCCCAATCTGACGGCGAAGGAAACATCCTCCACACTTCGTCCTGTGACGGTTCCACACAGTTCCGCGTTATTTCACACGAATCTGACACATAGCTTGAACTCCCCATTCCCAATAGCTAATTCAACTTCTATGCGCTTTGGTCAGAAGCCACAGAGACAGCATACCCACCTTTTTCTCCAACCCCACGCCCCATCAAGGTGAAATCCACACTGGATGTCCCAGCTTAGTGCTGGCCATCAGAAATCAACCACTATCACAACCATGGTCACGTCTGTAATCTTGACCAGCACCTTAACCTGACCAGCACCTTCACCAGCCTCGCAGCACTATGTAGACTTCGGGTGAGCCGACCACTGACCGCAAGTGGACCCTGACCGCGGGATTCCCGGCGGCTCGATCAGTTTTGATCCGCCCCCCCCCCCTCGTTCCCTCAACTAAAGCTTCAGAAGTGACACTCTTTGTTCAATTTGGTACCATGCATATAGCCTGCATAGCCGAGTTCACTCTCACTCGGTGGACAAAAACCTGCGTTGCCCGGAGTGAACCCCAAATGATCTGAACAAAAAGCACTGGTTCTTATTGATTTTTTGGTGAAATGATCCGCCCACTCCAAAGAAAATAAAGAAAACGCGAAACAAACGGCCTATAGTGGGCTCACGGCAGGTGAGCTCGCACGTGGTGTTGGGTAAAGGCCCAGTATAGGGACCAATGGTGTCCTGGACACGGCGCGGCAGACTGGGCGCGGCAGGTGAAGCTGCCGAAACAGAGCTTTGGCGAACTGACTCCGACACCTGGCATTTGATCGACACATTGGCATCAGTAGGTCGACCGGTCTGTCTCCTGGTGCCGTGATTTCATAATCCCTAGGGCTCCAAGTACCTCCTCAGAAGGTATTTGGACCCTCTAAACCCACCCCAAACACCTTCTTAGAAGGTACTTGGAGCCCTAGGGAATGTTTTCATACAAACCTGCAATTTGGGTGAACAAGGTTTCACGCAGAACTTTACAGACGATTTACAGAGTGATGTGAGTTCTGTTCCCGGCAGAAGCGAGTGGGTCATCGCGGGTGATGAAGCAAGATGCCGAGCGAGCAAACATGAAATCGTCCACAAATAAAATCACACAAAGTTCTTCCCATTATATATCTAAAGCTCCACTCATGGAAGATGTGGTGAATTCATTTAAAACAACCATATACTGCCTTGCATCCTCCATCACCTTAAATTGGAGTCAGTTTTTGTTGGGGGGGTCTTATAGCTTTTCTTCGGCGAAGGTCCCAGCCTCTGGGAAACCTCGATTCTGACTCCCGGGAAAGAGAAACCCAGAAAAATGGTGAACCAAACGTTCCACCTGTTCTATCCCTACGGACGTCCAGTCTGACCCAGGTCCAATCCTGGTCTTTTTCATCCTTAAGTCCTGTTTTTACATGACCACGTCCAGTCAAATGAGGTCATTGACCGGGTATATCTCGAGCATGAGTCAAGAACAGACCCCAAAGAGTTCGATGGGGTGATTTGTCGGACGAGGATTTGCAAGAGCATAGGATGGAGGAATGGGTTGGAACATCCCAGGAAGCCAAAACTCGAACAGCAACGAGGCATCGATGCAAGCAACTGGTGTGAGAGGCCTGCCCATGGGTACCCTCCTGCAAATAAAAGCACCCTGAAGACCACTACCCACTGGTAACGAGAATTAGTCCCTCTACAGGGGGCAATTTTCACAGTCCAAACTTGCACGCGTCTGTATTCCAGAGCCGCTGGTTTGCTTGGACAGTCCACTAACAGTGACCAACCCAGTCACGTAGAACACAGTCACGTAGAACCCTCCAAAGTACTCTCGAAAATGCACATCACTCTATTCAAAAACTGGTATACGTACTTTGAGACTCCAGATAACGCTTTTTCCCCCGTCCCGCAGACACCCGCAAACACGTGCGCCACCTGACTCCGTTCACGTGAGACGAGATATTCGCTCCTGGCTCCTCTCTTGGCACTCAGAGATGTTGTAGGTACAGACCTGGAAATCAAACGAGCAGCAAACCGGTCATTCTTCTAGATACAGACCTGATCCAAAACTGCAGGGAAACCCATCACCGACTGGTACAGACCAGCTTACCAACCCGCCCGACTGGATGCTGCCTGTTCCTGCCTCACCTTGCTTCTCCACGTCATCTCCAAACACTGCCGTGGTTTGTGAATGCACGTGGCTTCCCAAAGGTCTTTTGGCAAGAGGAACCGGTCCCACGAATTTACCGTGATGACATAGGGACATGCCACGAATTGTCCCAATTTCTTTGAGTTGTGCTCTCTTCGTGTGCCACACAAAACGATGTTCAAACGTGTCCGAAAACCCATCACTCAAGTCCAAAAGAGTGGACTGTAGTCCGGACCTATCGTGTGGAGAATTGGTTGCAGGTGAAAACCATGGGTTTTCTGTACTCGTTCCCTCAAAACCATTCTGGGACATCCATCTGAATCTGCGCTGCACCTGTGGTGCTGCTTTCGGCTACGCAAGTTCACAAGAGACTTGGCCACTGCCAGAAGTACTGCCAGTGTCGCTGATGTGTTCAAAGCTCACTTTCATCTCATCAAATATTTGAACGAGACCTTGTCTAAGAACAAGGTCTCAGTGCCTCACCCCAAAGCCATCACCAAAGCGATCCAAAGCGTGTTGGTTTTCGTCTACGTCCATGTCTTCAGGTCCTGGTGTATAGCTCCATTCCAATCATGGATGAACCCCGAACGCGCTTGGAGGCTCTCCAAGCGCATTAGAGACGACCTTTCTACGCTGAGAGGTCTCCAAATAGATAGAAACAAGAACACTCCATGGGCACTGCCATATAGTCTCCAAATAGATAGACACAATGTCTATTTGAACAGATATTAAGAACTCGTTCTACTTGGACATATTTTACTTCAGGTCTCTTTCAACGGATCTTTCTATTTGAAACAATGTCCAATACATGCCACTTGTTGCACATCTAGGGCACCCCAGTCAGTTTTTCTCCAAGAAAACCACCAAGACCTCCAGGGTTGAAGCGACCTGCTTTCAAGTTTCTGGCTGGGCTTTCAAAGGTCACCACATATATAACCTTCTCTCCCACAATCATGGAAGTGAATGGCATAGCCCCTGGAAAGACAACTTGCCTCTACAAGCAGGGGGTGAACTCCACTTCTATTTTCGCTGCAGGGAGTGTATGAGGGAAGCTCTCTTTCCAAATCTCAACTGTTGAAAGCGCCACACCTCGCCACAACTTGACGACGTGACAATCGCACCAGTTCGACCGACCGCGGTGGTGGTGACGGTGACTAACGAGACAGTCACGGGTAACGCTCGCGGGGTAACGCCGGGCGGTACTCGTCAAGTCACATCGAAGGATCTGGGGTCGATGGGTTTGCAGGGCACCAGCTGAAAGCAGCCCGAGATGGTCCTGAAAGCTGTCGAGCGGTCGAGGAACAGCGGTCGAAGAAAGAATCCCGCAATCCCGCTCAATCGCGCGATTCTGATGGGGGTTCCCAACAAAAACACGAGAAAAGGTGTTCGTCATCCTCGCGGGGTCTACCAGGGCACTCCATACACTTTCAACTGTCAGTATTTTGGGAGAATGGGACAAAGCTCAAATGGTGAAGTGATTTTGTCCCACTTTACCCGCGCATCTTCCTCACATCTTGACATGAAAAGACTTCAGCTGGTGATGACGGATCAGGAAATGACTTCGAATCCAAATCCAAACACCACTGCTTTTGCCGATTTCAGTAACGAACCAAGGATTTGCAAACACGCGTGTTTGGTATATCAAGCACCATCAAGCACCGGCTTCAAGAAAAGGCTGTCTCTGTTTTGAAGATGTTTGAAGTCAGTCTCGGTTTACGATGTTGGAGATGGCGTTGTTCAACTGTTCATGAACAGTGGAAGTGGACAGGCTAAGAAGTTCGACTCACTTGAAACGCCCGTGGAAAGGTTTGGTCATGCGAATCGTCCCCTTTCTTCATGAGACGTGTATGGCAGGCGACTTAATGTAAGTGTTTAGGGGTATCGGTATCAATGGTTACAAGTACTGTACTTGTTGTCTACGGATGTCAAAAAAAACAAGCAAAAGGCTTGATCTTGCATAGATCAATCAGAGTTGGCTTGCCCCTCATTGCACCGTTGCATTGTTGGAATACCAACGGAATATAACGGAATAATGTCAGACTCAAGAAGTAGTTCCCCATGCTTGCCGGGCCAAGCGTGCAACAAGAAATGGACCCAAACAGTCGTGCCATGATGCAGACAGGCCAGCATTGCATAGGGCACAAGGCTCTAGAATAGAGAATCACCAGCGGACAAGTGTTCTCAACATTTTGACAGTCGAACCGAGTGGGATTGAGAAAGGACCACAAACCCGTCACCTTGGCAAATCAAAGTGGTAGTGGCTGGCTCCTCTCAATACTCAATCACACTTGTTGTTTGATTGGTAGTGGTTTGCCCGTGTAGGAGGCTTGCTCCTCAACTTAAGAGGTGGCTTGCCCCAGTTTTCTGCTTGTATGTTCCTTCTTGCAAAAATTCTCATCAGTTCAGAGTTCAGAGGGCTAAGGTTAAAGAGGTGGCACAAAAAGTACTCCATCACGACGCCCCTCACATCCACACTGTGACAGGCCAATGAAGATGTCGAAGTCAGTTTCAATGCCAATGATGGTCAGGCAGTGCCATCAGCAAGCTGTTGATGATGCACTGCATGGCCATCACCAGCCGGTGAACAAAAGCCAGGCCATGTGTCATTCCAACACTCCTCTCCAACCTACAAAGCGATGGCCTCCAACCTAGAAGTGAAGGTACCCAAGAGGAAGAAAAGTAAATGCTGATGATCTACTCGAACTTCGACTAAGTCACCACCATCGACTGCTGCTCCTTGGCCTTCGACATACGAGACTTCTCTCACTATGGAAGAAAAAACTGATCAAGTTGTTGAAGATACACACGTCTTCAGAACTTCACCAAAAAAAAGGCTCGCTCCACCCACCCAACCCTCGCCATCGAAAACCAAGAAACACAGGCACCGCACAGTGATCGCTGCGGTTGATGCTGCAGCTGTGATTGGCTGTGCCCGTCCAACCCTCTGCGCACGTGTAGGCCGGATCCCTGCGAGCGCCGTATGCGAGCGCAGTGGCGGCGAAGTGGGGAGGATCCACTGGGGCGGATCCAGCCGCGGCGGTGTGACCATAACGGAAGAAGGGACTTTCATGAAAGCAGTGGGTTCACAGGGCACCATGACATCATGAGTTTCGATGAAATGAGGCCTACCACAACCATGAGCCGGGACTCGAGAACCACTGGAGGGAATTGGCCTTCGCTTTTCACACGCCAGCTTTTCCTTTCTGCACATCTTCCGGTGCCGATCGGAAAGGGTCCTGTCCAGATAGGCTCCCAAGACGTTGGAAAGATCATGAACACTCCCTAGGGATCCACTGCCACCTTCTCAGAAGGTACGACTGGGCCCTCCAAGCCTACATAAATAGTCTCCAATCACCTTCTGAGAAGGTACTTGGATCCCTAGGGACTCGATGTGGAGATCCAAGATCTGGGGCGATCGCCCGGTCCTCAGGTGCATAGCGTCTGTTTGTTTAAGCATATTTATCAACTCACTGACTCTGACCCCCCTTTTGAGGTGTTGGAAGATAGTTAACCTTATAAAAAACTTTCATATGGTAAGGCCAGAATCCTTGATTTAAAAAAAAGTCAAAAAACAGTCAAAAAAAAGTCAACTGGAAAAGTCAAAGTCAAAAAA